GCGCTCTACCACTTGAGCTACAGGGCCACTTCCGGTTTTCTGGTGGTTATTGGAGATAGGAGTCTCACGGTCTCTCCTGCCCGGGCTGGCTTTGAACCGGGATCCTCAGATCTCAGCCTCCTAAGTAGCTAGGATTACAGGCGTGAGCCACCAGCGCCCGGCCTAGAGTAATACTTTTGAGGGGGGAAAATAAATTAGGCTCTAAACTGGGCTGGTGACAAATCTGATGTCCCAGCTACACAGGAGGCTGAGATCTGAGGCTTAAAAGTCCATGAACCAGGGCTGGGAAGGTGGCTCAGTGGTAGAGTGCTTGCCTTGCATGCCTGAGGCCCTGGGTTCCATTCCTCAGCACCACATAAACAAAAAGAAAAAAGCTGGAAGTGGTGCTGTGGCTCAAGTGGTAGAGCGCTCGCCTTGAGCTGAAGAGCAAGGGACAGTGCCCAGGCCCAGAGTTCAGGCCTCACAGCTGGACCCCCCCCCCAAAAAAAAGTCCATGAACCAGCAAAAAAAGCCAGAAGGGAGGTGTGAATCAAATGGTAGAACACTACTAGTCATGAGCAAAATGCTACCAGAGTGTCCCAAGTTCAAATACTACCCAGTACCTGCATACACATACACACACACTTACTTTTAAGGTTGCAACCACTCACTGTAGCTACAACAAGGCTCTAAACCTATTAACCTATAGTACCACTTGCTCTAGGCGACAGAAATCACCCCAGCCTGTGCTTCCTGGTAAGGAGAGACTCACCTGTCCCCCTGAACCCACTGCATCTCATGAGAAACCTGAAGGGAGCGCGTGAGCCACGCACCTATTGGATAAAACGATTTTCTGGGCTCACCCCCCACCCCTGTCCCAACCGGATGAAGCCCAGATCCCCCCAACTGTCAAGTCCTGTGAGGTGGGCGTGGCCTGGGTATCGGTAAGCAGTTGACAATTCAGAAGACACAGAATGAGGGTCCTGCGGGTGAGACCCCCTCCACTCAGTCTCTAACGCGACCACCTGAACACCCCAGGTTGTGGAACCAAGCCCCTTTAGAGCCTGGGGCTCCCTTTCTGCACAGGCTGGAACCTTTCCCTGGACCCCAACTTTCTGAGACTTGGTGGGTAACCTCTAATGGATCCCAGAGCCAGGAGTTTAAACCTTCTCTCTTCTTCCAGGGCTCCCTAACACCCCTGCAGCTGCCCCGGGGCTCCTTACGCAGCCCAGAGTCCTCAAATCCAGTCTTGACTTTTTCAAGGTGCGGTTTCCTTCCGTGAGTGAACGAAGGGCTTCCCCTACCCCACTAAGTCACCCCAAGACTTAGGCTCCAGGAACAGTAATCTTCCTTTCTGGGTCCTTGCCCACCAGGACCTTCTAGATAGCTCCCCAACCTCAGAGCCTGGCCTGGCCGGCGGCTGGCACTTGTGTGTGTGTGGGGGAATGGTCCCACGTACCATCCTCGGAAGGCAGCCCCGGCCGGACCCACGTGGGGACAGCTGCCTCCTACCCCGCGGGTCTCCCAAGAGCTGATCAGCTCTTTCTGCAGAGCGGAGGAACCACTTTGGGACCAGTGTGCCGGAGAAACAGCAGCTTTCCCAGGCGGCTGTGCGGTAGGCGGGGCCCTGCAGTGGAGGGCACGGTGCTATGGGCGTGGCTTGTGTGGTGGGAGGAGCCACCGTGGCTGTGATTGCGTGCTGGGGGCGGTGCTGTTGGGTGGGGGCTATGCAGTGGGAAGGGCGGGGTTGAGGAGGGGTGGTGGGCCTGAGCCGCAGGTGGGGTGGTGTCTCTGAGCCCAGTCCCAAGGGCGAGGTCTAAGGAATAGCCCACACCCGCTTCTCATTCCACCTGCTGACAGCTAGGCAGACAATGACTTCCCGGTGTACTTGAAGGGGAAAACGGACACCATCCTATATAACCTAAGGTGCTGACGCTGGGAGGTGAGTATATTGCTTCAAATTATGGGCTGGGCTGCATGGGCGAATGGATGTGAGGCCATTGGCCCTAGGGTTTGCCTTGGTATTATTGCTTAGACAGTGGGACCCTGAATTGCCTGGATTGGAGACCGGCATTTGAAGACAAGGCTCCCTAGGACCTGGGGTTCCTGCCCCAGAGAGGAAGCTGGGCTGGTTACTGGTGGGTCTGGGACTTAGGCAGGAGTTGAAGGTAAAGCTCCTATCCAGACCCTGATTAAAACACCAGTGGATTCCCACTTGGAGTCTAACCTGGAGACAGAGCTGGGAACCAGGCTGCTAAGTGGGGGCCGGAAGAAGAGCTGGCAAGCCATAGATGGTGAACGGTAGAACTGAGCTCTCACTCTATTCCCCTCGCTTCCCCCTCCTAGGCACTGCCTACAGCCTGTGTTTCCTTGCCTGGGCTGCCTTCTCCCAGAAGAGACACCAAGACGCTTGGAGGGTCTGGAAACTTGACAAAAAAAAAAATTTTTTTTTTGGTCCGGTCATGGGGCCTGAACTCTGGGCCTGAGTGCTGTCCCTCAGCTCTTCAGCTCAAGGCTAGCGCTCTACCACTTGAGCCACAGCGCCACTTCTGGCTTTTTTCTTTTTGCTTATGTGGTGCTGAGGAATCGAATCCAGGGCCTCAGGCATGCAAGGCAAGCGCTCTACCACTGAGCCACCTTCCAGCCCAAACTTGACAAATATTAATAAACATTCTGGTTTCTTGGTAACTGCCCAGCTGTGACGTGTGTCCCATCAGCCTGGGATGTCTGGCTTGGGGTGGGGCCATTGCCCTAGCCCTTGAATGCAGCAGCCTCTTAACTCAGGGAGGAT